TAGGAAGCTTGCTTAGAGGGATTACAGAATAATTATGTTAATATGCAATTATCACCTCATTTCTTCTGTAGTAACCTCAAGATGTAGTGTAGTAAGGGTGTTATAGCAAGTGCTGATAGTTTGCAGAAATACTGATGTTTGAGATTTCTGAGACAATAAGATTAGCTTGAGGCATTTAAGTGATGATCTGTCATCTTGAAGACAGATCTGACCTTTGCACCTTTTTAAGGCTTATAGTATCTAGCTACAGGCAGTTATAGCTGCAGAACTCATTAGGATTCTTTAGAAAATAAGATGTTCTATGTTAAATATTTCAAATAAGATGTTTATGAAGAATTAGTGTGGGGGGAGGGGGTTTTAATGTCCATTTATAAATAGAGGGGGCAAACTGTGTTTTGATTGTACTGGTGCACTCTTGAGTAATTCAATACAATAAATAGTGTGTGCAGGTGTAATATTGATACTAGCAGTGGAATTATTCCTGGTGTAAATGAATTTGGCCCTTACTTGTATACACTTGGATGATAATTCATCACAGTAGTGCTATCAGTATTTATTAGCCAGATATTATAGGTATATATTGTGCAAGCTGTTCAAGGCAGGGACTTTCGTTCTGTGTTTGCAGTAGTGCCTGAAATATGCTATTATCGTACAATCTAAATGCCTTGTTATACTAGTTTTTAACCAGGACAGGAGTCGTAACTTATTTTTAAAAGTATCTATTTTAGAAAGAGAAATGATGCTTAACATGAGGAAGGAATACTATATACATTCAGCATTTACAAAGAAATTGTTAACTTAAACCCTGACAGTGAAGTGGCTGATGCTGTGTAAGTACAGTATCTTTAAAGGTTACTACTGTGCATTTGGATCAGTTTGTATTATATGCTTTAATGGTACAATGTACAGCATTAAGCTTTTACATGTGTGCTATATTTGCACATTAAGAATAATATACAATCTTAACTACTGTACTATTTTGAAAATGCCTTATGAAAGTGCCTTCTGAAACTGATTACACTTTAATAGATCATTCATCTTGAGGTTCAAGCATAAACATTCTCTTAAAAATAAGAACATTCAAAGCTCAGGGTAAAACATTATTAAAACCATCTAACCCTGCTTATTGTTTTATTGCATAAATTGAAGGATATCTGAGCAGATTATTTGTATGTTGTAGCACTTACATAAACCTATTGGATTGTACTTATCGAATTTCAGCCTCAAATCTCTGCCTCCTAATACACTCACAAAAAGACATTTAAAATCATTGTGAACATAAAATTACTTCATCTTTTTGTGCCAGCTAATTGGCTCCAACACTTTGTTCATAGGTGGGAGAATGCTACAACTAGCTTAAAATGATCTGATATATCTTAGTTGGAGTGGTGCATTAGGGACCTGATCCAAAGTCTGCTGAAGTCTGTGTGGAAAGAATTATGTCAATTTCAGTAGTCTTGAGGAGACCTCTCTGGCTCATTTTCCGTTTTCATAAACCTATAATACCTGAAGTAATTTATGAAAAATAAAAAAATCTGATATTAAACTGCTGTTCATCATAGCATTAAAGTAAATTTCTAGTTGGAGATGGTTGGAGTGTAATATTTCCATGTTCCATAATTTGAATACAATTAAATACTCTATATATTACTACAGTTTTAATGCATTTACAATTTCACATGTGCAACAGTATAATTTTGTCTCTTCATGTGAACTTGTGGAAAGTTTCATGAAGCCATTTTGATAATGAGGATTGCAATCTCCAAGCCGACATGATATTCTCAGTTTGCCACCCTGCTGTTCAGGGGGTACCAATGAAGTTGCTTTAAATGGGAAGCGTCTGTTCTTCCTCTGAACCCCTAACACCAGAACAGATGGATGGAACATGGAACATGGAAGGTTTTACCTCAAGAGGTGGTAACAGTGAAGCCACTCATTAACACTGAATTTACCACTTCGTTAGCAACATTGCTTCCTGTTGAGAAAAACTAATATAGGCTCTCAAATTGACTGAGCATACATTTGTCTACCTCTGTGAATATAGTAAAATGGGAAAAAAAGCAAATATTTTAAGAATAAATAACTTAAAATGACAAAATCCTAAATTCTATTTCAGAATGATTGAATACTCTGAGAGTTCAATATTTTATACTTATTCAATGAGAAATTTAACAGGGAAACTGTGGTACATCCATAGAGATTGCTTTTCTTTTAACTGACATTTGCACTACTGCTTTAGTGCATGTTTGTGCTACCCATTTTTAACTTGTGTACGTGAGGTAAAGACTCCTGCTGGGTGCTGCATTATCGCCATTTTAGGGTGATAACAGTGAATATGATCTTATTATTAGTCTTTTAATTACTGTGAAAATTTGTTAATCTCAATATTTAATAGAATTTTGGAAATTGAAGAAATAGAAGAATTAAAATGGATGTTTTGTCTAGTTAGATTAATTTAAGAATATGGCATAAATCAATTTAAACTAGATTTGTCTTACTTTAATATACATTAAAGGCATTCTTTAAACAATGTATTTGTGACAGCACACTAAGTAAATACTATATTACTGAAATGTAATTGTTCTGAATATTGATAGTGAAGAAAAGCATTTTTTTATATATTGCTTGTAATGAAAAGCTATTTTCATTATAAAACAGTACTGTATTTGTATTATCATTTCTGCAGACTCTTTAGCTCAGTTTAGTTTTTATAGAGTGATACAGAATAACTATGCCAGGAAAATAAGATAGTACAAATGTGTTAGGAAGGAAGAGGGAGAAAATTAAGTGTGGCTTGGTAAATCTGTGCTTTTCTGTCTCTGTAAATTGGCTCCAGTATAAGCAGTATAGCAGCTGCATTTCCATGAGGCCTGACATTTGCTAGATCTGTGTTGGGGGAGATTCTTTACAGTCAAGTATAAAGGGTTTTTTAAAAAGACAATATGAGCCCGTTTTACTACTTTATAATATGTTCATTAGCTGAAAATGCATTTTTTGACTTATTGCTTGATTTCTAATTTTAATTTTATGAAAAAGGAATGTTAAGTGCGGTCTTCCTTGGTTTTGTTGAAGGACCATTAGGAGGAGCCAAGGGTGTTTGTTGTGACACTTTAATTGAAGGAGTGTAGGTGATGATTTTTTAAGAGGATATTTATTCAAAATGTTAATTAGTAATTGAAGTTAAAGAGGTGTTAACAAACATAACAAAGATCAATTTTTTCAGAAGTGCTTAGTGATTTGTGCTGCCTCAAGTTTTGGTTTCCCAGTTAGATGCACCTTTACAATTCTCTCGCACATTCAGTTGCTTAACTTTCACTTTTTGCACTGTTGAGATGTCACAGTACATTTGCTCTCAGTTGACATAGTGTTCCATTCTAAATGGGACTGGAAATCCTAATGTAAAACCAAGCAGAAGAAGAAAATCTTTTTGGAGTTGATGAGGAGGGTGCGGAGGAAGGAGAAGGAAAATCCTTCAGGCCACGTTTATATAGTATAAGGAAGTAGTGAAAAGCAGACTTTCAACTTTTCCTCTTTCTTGCAGGGCACATTTAAATTCATTAACTGATTTAAATAACCCAGGTCTGTCTATATACCCAGTGTGCTTTGCCATGTTTACCTCTATGCTCATAGACTAGAAATTAGGGGGGAGGGTTGTTCTTTCTGGTGCTGGGGAGTTCCTTTACCATCAGAACAAAGTTGTAATAAGTTGTTCTATAGTAAGTGTCAGCCCTGATGTGGCAAACACCTTGGAATAAGTGATGCTTTGAGGTACAGAAAAAAAATTCTCTGGATTAACTCTACAGATCCGAAATGGAGGGTTTTGACTTCTGATGACGCATGCTCATTGAGATTATTCTAACATAATAATCTTGGAATCCTTTATTCTTTTCCAACTGTAGTTTTATATCTAATAACGAATGTGTAGATTAAATGTTTATAGTAAACAGCTAAAGATGAACTCTGGCGGGTTTGTAATCCACATGAAGGTACTTAAAATACTGAAAATACATTTTATTTGTTAATGATACTTTCCTACCCTTTTTACCTACATGTACTAGTTCATTTTTTAATTGTGAAATTAAATATTGTGTAAATGGATGACTGATGGACAATGTGGAGAGGGTGAAAAATCAAACTAGGAAGATCCTTTTTTCTATCTTTTTTTTTTTTAATTACCTGTAAATATTGTCATTGATCTCTGTTGTTCTTTGTTTTCAAGTTGGTAGGATCTAAAACTATATACTGAATATAATAGAATATTTGTCAGCTTGACATGGGTAAAGCCAATAGAGTTTGTAAGGTGTGCACACCCAACTGATGTGGAACATGGTATTTAGGCCTTGATTCTGAAATCTCTTGAGTACTATGAGTAGTTCCACTAGAATCAGTGGAACTCCTCACCATAGTAAAGTTAAGAATGTGTTTGCATAAGATTTGGGACCTTAAAAAGTTCTGCTGGAACTTTTTGGCTGATCAAGCCAATTACTTCTCATTTCCCATGTTTTTACCCTTTTAAACAAATATAAACTGTAGGATATTAGAAGGGGGGAAATGATATCAAGGATGCAAGATCAGGTTAAAAGCACTTGTGTAATTTCCAAAAGTTAAGATTACTGTTAAGATAAAGTTAAGATAGTATTTGTTATATCTTTTCCTTGAAATGTGTTAATGTACATCCTAAAGTACACAGGCTATTCAATGTGGCTACATTACTATTGTTATCAAACAACCTTTTGAACTTTTAGTTTGTTTTTAATGCTTTCTCTTAAACTCTTAATGTTGCACAAATTAGGGAGATGTAATTGTATGCATGGAAAGAGTCTGCCCTAAGTTTCCTATATGAAAAGACTTAACTGTATTAACACATTTAAAATAATGTTTTCAGCTTTAAACCACTGATCATAATACAGTACTTTTCTTCAGAAATAATATCAATTTAAAGCTGCTTTTTTCAGCTATGTTAGTGAATGTCTAACTACTGTATTTCTTTTTATTTTTAGTATAAATGTGCTCAATAGACAGACCAGCAATATGGATGGTTCAAAGATAAATACTGAGATTACTGGTGCTAAAGAAGGACTCCTAGATGACAGCAATTTCATCTCTGAGGGAAAAGGAGGCATTCCTAAATCACAAGAAAGTGAAACCTCATTTCAGAAAAACAATATATTGACTCTGTCAGAAGACCTGTCAAGGGACAGATCCGAAAAAGCCTTAAGTGGAGGCCAGCAGTCTCTATTTATACATACTGGTGCTCCTACTGTTTCTACGGAAAACTTTATCTTGCCTACAGGAACTGCTGTTAATGGACCAGTTTCACACTCCACCTTAACTAAAACTTCCATTATGAATAAAGGCAATGTTTCATTAACTACTGGACAACCTGTGAGTCATACAGATTCCTGCTCAACATTGCCAGTCATGCATGATCTTCAGCTGCCCGCAAAGAGTACAACACAGAAATCAAGTCAACACCAAGTGTTATTTTTGTTACCTGATGTAGCACAGGCTAAGAACCTGACTCATTCCATTAAAAATCTACCTACCTCTGCTTCAGTTGGTTGTGATACACAGAAATCTATAGGAAATAGTGTGAAATCAGATAGCACTTTAATAAACCAAGTAGAAGTGTGTGAGGATAGCAAAAGTTTACTAGTAGATGAAGATTGTGTTAATACATTAACAGGAATTTCCTCAGGTACAGGTGGTTTCAGATCAGGAAATGATACAAACTGGGATCCACAAAAAGAGTTCATACAGTTTCTTATGACAAATGAAGAAACAATAGAGACGTCTCCAGTTCACTGTAAAGTAGGTCTAGAGAAAAAGCGAAAAAGAAAAATGGATGTTAGCAAGATAACACGTTATACAGAGGACTGTTATGATACAGATTATATTCCCAGTAAATCAAAATTACTAAATGTTGACTATTTAGAGCAGAGTGAGGATCTAGAAATAGTAGAACCACATAAATATGCATTAACAAAAGTGAAGCCTGAATCAATGGATGAGGAGTTAGAAGCTGTTGATGCTATCCAACAATTGATTTATAGTCCTACTAACAAATGTGCAGAAGATACTTCTCCGGTTCACACTAGCACTTTTCTTTCTAGTACTTTAAAAAGCAAATGTGAACAGAATGATTCAGAATCACCATCTACTTTTAGTACTGATGAGCCATCATTTTATCCTTGTACTAAGTGCAATGTGAATTTTAGGGAGAAGAAACATCTGCATAGACATATGATGTATCATTTGGATGGGAATAGTCACTTCCGTCATCTCAATGTCCCAAGGCCCTATGCATGTAGGGAATGTGGACGGACATTTCGAGATCGTAATTCACTTCTTAAACATATGATAATTCACCAGGAAAGAAGGCAGAAACTGATGGAAGAAATCCGAGAGCTGAAAGAACTTCAGGATGAGGGTAGAAGTGCACGATTACAGTGTCCACAATGTGTTTTTGGTACCAATTGTCCCAAAACATTTGTGCAGCATGCTAAAACCCATGAAAAGGATAAAAGATATTACTGTTGTGAGGAATGCAATTTCATGGCTGTAACAGAAAATGAACTGGAATGCCATAGAGGGATTGCTCATGGAGCAATGGTGAAGTGTTCAATTATCAGTAGTGATATGTCCCAGAGAAAAACACAGAAAAAGACTTCAGTGAAAGATCCATATATAGGGTCATCAAAAAAGTCAACCACATATATGTGCAAAATGTGTCCATTTACTACATCAGCCAGAAGCATTTTAAAAAAACACATGGAATACTTACATCCAACATCATGTATTAGTCCATTTAGTAGCCATCTTAGATTAGAAAAAAGGAAAAGTAGCATAATTGAAGAACCTTTAGATTTTGGCAGCAGAACTAAACAATTGATCAAACAATCATCTACATTTCCAAAGAATTCTGTTTTAAAGCAAGATGTAAAAAGATCATTTGGCTCAGCTTCACAATCCAGTAACTTTGCAAAACTTCACAAGAGACCCCACAGGATACAGAAGGCTCGGAAAAGCGTTTCACAGTCAGCTGTAAGTGTGTGCAATCTAAAATCTCCAAACAAGACTATTTTGATTAAAAATAGCATTGACCAAAAACCTAAATATTTCCATCAAACAGCAAAACAAAAAGCTAGTGTCAAAACAAGCAGTAATTATTTATATAGACACAAATATGAAAACTACAGAATGATTAAAAAATCTAGTGATCCTTATCCTTTACATTTTAAAAAGGAAGAGTCCAGCTCTGTTAGTTCTTTACATTTATTTTCATCATCAAATAGTCCCCATAATAATTGTTTTATCATGGATTCTCCTAATCTTGATTCCAAAAGGTCAGAAGGCTATAAAGACCATAGGCGTGTAGCTGTAAAAAGAGTGGTTAAAGAGTCTAAGAGGGAAGGCTCTGTTACAGGAGATGATTTGGATTGCTATCCAGATTTTCTACATAAAATGACTGTTGTTGTTTTACAGAAACTTAACTCTGCTGAAAAAGACAGCTATGAAACGGAGGACGAAAGTTCATGGGATAATGTTGAACTATGTGATTACACTGCACAATCTATGGAGGATGATTCTTACACTGATATTAATCAGGATCATGTAAACCTCTTCCCTTTATTCAAAGGTAAAATAGAGGATCAAGAAGCTGGTGATAAATCCTCTCTTCATTATGAGCAGAATGATGGTTTTTATTTTGAGTATTATGAAGATGCAGAGAGTAATAACTTCCTGCATGAATTACATGATCCTCAAAATTTAGAAAATGTAGGAACAGCATTGCCAAAGCATAGCTCGGTTTTCCATTGGACTGATTTATCACTTGAGAAGAAGTCCTGTCCGTACTGTCCAGCAACATTTGAAACAGGAGTTGGATTGTCTAATCATGTCCGAGGGCATCTTCACAGAGCTGGATTAAGCTATGAAGCCCGCCATGTTGTTTCACCAGAGCAGATAGCGACAAGTGACAAAATGCAACATTTCAAAAGAACTGTAACAGGAACCCCTGTTAAGCGAGTTAGAAAAGGTATGATTTTTTAATTTGGGTGTATAATGGGGGATAGGGGAGGATGTAATTGTTAATCATTAAAAGAAGGTAAATAATGTTTTCTTGCCTTTACGAAAGGTTGTTTGATTACAAGTTTATAGAGTTAAACACAAGTTAAGATTTCAAAAATATTTGGGAAAATAGATAAATCATTATTTTTTCTTTTTTAGCTATTGAGAAATCTGAAACGTCTTCTGAACACACGTGCCAGCTTTGTGGTGGTTGGTTTGATACAAAAATTGGATTATCTAATCATGTGCGAGGACACCTGAAAAGGCTTGGTAAAACCAAGTGGGATGCACACAAGTCTCCAATTTGTGTTCTAAATGAGATGATGCAAAATGAAGAAAAATATGAAAAAATCCTAAAAGCATTGAACAGCCGCCGTATTATTCCCAGACCATTTGTTGCTCAGAAACTTGCTTCAAATGATGACTTTTTATCTCAAAATGTAATACCTCTTGAAGCATACCATAATGGCCTAAAGACTGAAGATATATCAGTGTCTGCATCGGAAGAAGATGGTCTGAGTTTCCTAAATGAATGTGATGAAACAAAAACAGTACTACATGAAAAAAAAAATCAGTCACTTACACTGATAGAACTTCTGAAAAATAAAAGGTTAGGAGAAGAAAGAAATCCTGATATTTCTCCTCAAAAGATCCATAATCAAACTGCAAGAAAGAGGTTTGTTCAGAAATGTGTTCTTCCATTAAATGAAGACAGTCCATTGATGTTTCAGCCGCAAAGAATGGACTTGACTATGCAGTCAGGTAAGAGGCTGTTTATAGATGTCTGACTATGATTCCAAATAATTCTTTCATTTGTTAGAAACATTACAGCAGAGTAGAATATATTTTCTAGAACACAGTTCATTTACCCCTTGTTCTCTTTGCAAAGAGAAAGAGAGTGCAAATATTCCTGAGTGGGGAAAGAGAGTGCAAATATTCCTGAGTGGGGAAAGAGAGTGCAATAAACTTATGTAACTTGCCCAACATTAACGTCCATCAGCAGTGAATTATCTTGCACAAAATATAACACTTTTTCAGCATGTGGTTGTGGTGTGATTTAGAAGGAGCTAAGGAAAATAAGGAAAAAGTTAGACCAAAGCACAACCTCTGATAGCAAAATATGCAGTTCCTCAATGAAAATAGTGTCTGGGTACAATCTTAGACCTGCTAAAACATAATCCAACATGTGCAGAAGCAGCATTGACTCAAGATGACAGAACTATTCTCAGTGTTATAAAGGCATAATATTTAAAACTATGAACAACTATTGAATAATTCCAACGTTTTAGGCAAACATGCTTCTTCAGCATAAATTAATGCATGTTTGTTGTATAATTGTGGCTGATATGGGTAACTGCTGTTCTCCTTTTAGCCCTGTCTACTCTGGGAGAAGAACTGTGCTAGTTACAGCACTATTTGAACGCAGTGGTTGCCAGCAGGATTCTAACACAGTCCCTGAACTGATGTGGGCAAAGATTTTTTTTTTTCCCTGAGAACTGTGCTGTTAAAATAATTCTGTCATAGTCTCTAGCCCAATTTTAGAATGATGTTCTTAATGCAGCTCTTGCCAAAAAAAAAAAAAAAGTATTTCTGTTGGTCAGGGAAACTCTCTACTAGTACCCTTTGATAACACCCTTGTGTAAAGAGAATTATAGCTAGTATGTTTTTGCTCATAGTTTGTACACTGGTTTCTGGTACTGCAATTACCTAGATGCGGAAGTACATGATCTTATTTTAGTCCTGTAACAGTTTTTTTGTTTTGTTTTTCCTGGTTTTCTTGTCAATATTCCAAGTGCAGTAGACCATATTTGGCAGTGCTCAGTACTTGTTCACCTGTGTTTTTGCCTTTTTTTAAAAATCTTGCCTGTGAAGTAAAATCTGTCTTAAGTGACTACTCAGTTGTCTGACAAAACTCAGTTTAACTAAGGTGATTTTTCTAATTTGGACTAACAAAAGTGGAATAGTATTGTATTCAGTGCATTGGGGTATTTTTGGTGGTCCCTTCAAACAAGAAGTTGCCTAGTAAGGGAAGTGTCTCTTTGACAGATTTCACTGTGTTTGGAAAAACATGCTGAAGTATATCTTGCCAAACCTGACCATGTGTATTTCTTTGTATTTAATACATTTACTTCTGAATGTTAGGTCATATCTATTTGGCTGTACTAAAATATCAAGTGAAAATAACTTATACTTGCATAATACTGATAGCTATAAACAAATCCCTTTTAGCTAAGGTGGCTAACGGAATAGAATATGACAACTAACTCAGTATGACTGTTGAGTTAAAAAAAAATCTCTGTAAGTTGCTTATTAAGCAAAAATTAAGATACTCCAAATATATTTAATACAATTTCAATTAAAAAAGGTGTCTATCAACCAGTCAGTCTTGTTCTGTAATTTGCCTGAAAAGTAGCCTTTCTTCTGCGGGCTGCTGGAAAATAGGATTCTTTCTATCCTGCAAATAGAAGTTTTCCAACATAATAGCTGTAGAAATGTTTAAACTAACGTATTTTAAGTTTTCTATAATATTAGTGGACATCATTGAGCAAGATAATGTATGTGTAACGCAGGGAAGGGAAGCACTTTGATGTGGTATCACAGCAGATTTGAGAAGAAACCAATTATAATGGTTTCTCTGGTAAGTGAGGAGTTTAGTTATTGTTTCACTATGTGTTTTTTCCTGTGATAAATAAGATGTTAGTTTGTTGATCATTTATTTAGCACAAAGATTTTAGCAAAAAACTTCAAATCATTAACTTTCATTATTGATTGCGCATCCAAAGTAATGAACATAAAATGCACTGAATAAAATGTTTTGTCTAACAGCTGTTCAGTGGTGTGTTTTACCACCTTTTCTCCCAGCCTTCATCAGCAGCCTAATTTAGTATTGAGCCTTTTACAGTCTTGTGGGTAAAACACTTTAATTACCACTTTGTCAACTAGACTTTTTAATTCTCTTTATTGGGAATGTTGCAGGCTTTGAAACTTCTCAACAGAATTGTGCTATTCAAATCACAGGATTGTATTTTGGGGTTAGGAAAAGATCTGCATACTGTGGAGATCTGCAGGAAAGTGATAATAGGTGTTAAATCCAGAGAAGCTTGGGGGTTCAAGCTTTACTCCCCTTTTTCAAAATAACATGGTTTGGCTCTGAACTCTACATGCAAAGCTAATAATGGTTAATTTGGATCCTTCTACTATACTAAACGATTGCATCAATACAGTGAATATATTTTAAACATCTTTATTACAGAAAACTTTTTACAACGCTTTGAGAATTTCATTTTTTGAAGAGAGAACTGGATTATAGTTTTCTTTTGAATGATAGGTATGCCTGTGAAGCTTAGAACGTGTGTGCATTGCAATACGACGTTTACAAGTGCTGTTAGTCTGTCCAACCACTTACGCGCTTATGCACGAAAGAAGAGTGCTGGACTTTTGACTGGGACAGGTATGTTTTGTTACAGATGTAAAAGCAAGTTTGTGTATGATGCATTTCCTCATCAAACTGCACAAACTTATATGTTAATCCAAATGAATTTTGACACTTTCTCTGATAGACAAGTTGAAGTAAGAGATTGAACTTCAGCAACTTGTAAAAATATAGGTGTTGCTGTTGTCCATTTTTCATGTTTGTTTTTCATACTTACTCACTCATTTTGATCCAGCATTTCAGGTATGTAAACAAAGCTGCAAACTGAGCAACTTTCATTCTTCACCCCCAAAATAAAAATAGCTATTTATTTTTTATGAAAGGGAAATGACCACTTTAAAAAATCATGCCTGTCCAAACACTTTTTACCTACTTACTATTACAAATAACCCTTAAAAGTACTATAGTTTAAATAAATGAGCAAAAATAACTAATTTTTCAGCTTATGCATCTGACAGCACTTTGTGTATAGTCTTATTTCATGGCTCTGTGTGTTGGTGATTTACAAGACGACTATAATTTGGTAGTGGGACTAAGTGTCAGGATTGTACCACACTCACCACAACTTTTAACTCATTTGTATTAAAATAAACTAGATTTCAGGTTGGCATCCCTTACCATTTTATGCTGTAATCTGAAATCAGATCCCAGGCCTTCATTCTGTAGCTGGGTCTCTGCATGCATCCCCCAGTAGCTGCATAAAGTATCACTGATGTAAGTGTGATCTGACTCTGTATGGTCTATAGTAGTAGGCAGAATGAGGGGTGGAGAGCAGAAGGGGGACATATCAGGACAGTTGGAAGGTGGAGAGCCTGGAATAGACATAGTAGGTAACGGGAGTGAAGCTGTCTTGTCACTACATAAAGGAACAAGTACAGGAAATCTACATATTACTTTGGTAAAAGTAGTGTTCCTTTTTCTTAGCTGTAGAACTTATTGGTTATATAAAGTACAACTCATAGGTAAAGCAGGGGTCTCAAACTTTCTGCAAAGTGAGTTAAAATATTATTTTAATTCAAGTTTATGGGTAGAGTCTATGAAGGTTGGGTTGCATATAAACCTTGATTCACAGTGGATCACCCATTAATAACAATTGGAGATTAGGACAAGGACTGTGAATGATAGACTATGATTCTTAACCTAATAATTAACTTTGTTGTTAAGAATTCCCAGAGAGGTAGCCCTTAATCTGTAACTTTAAAAATAATGAGCAGTCCTGTGGCACCTTATACACTAACAAATATATCCTGAGCTTTCATAGGTAAAACCCACTTCATAAAGACTTCTAATACTCCTATCATCTGAAGAAGTGGGTTGTGCCCACAAAAGCTCATGATACCATATACATGTTTTGTTAGTCTTTAAGGTGGTGCAAGACTATTTGTTGTTTAAGTTTGTCCTGTTACAACTCAGCTACCCCTCTGAACCACTTCATAAGGTTACTGTTTGCAGTATCACTTAGTGAGGAAAAGATGATTCACGGGGGTTTGGTACTGTCGTTGCTGTTTTGGGGGTATTTGGCCCCTTTGCTAATTTATTTATTCAGTTTATGCACACAGTTATGATTGTGCCAGATAACTAACAAATGCAATTGTGCATCTATTGGAAATTATTGCTTTTTAAATATTTTCATTAGACTCAAAAGTTAACAGAGGGAGGCAGTGGGGCTTAGTGTATAGAACACTTGTCTGCAATTCCTGAGACCTGAATTTGGTAATCTTGGGCAAGGCACTCTGTGCCTCCATTTCCCAATCTGTAAAACAGATTATACTAATGTCTTAAAGTCCTTTCAGATTACTATGAAAAGTGTTATATGAAAGCTAGGTGGAATTCTTATTTTTATATATATATATATATATATGAGAAAGAGGCGGGGGAGAAGCGGGGGACACACACACCCTACTAGACATTTTGTAAAAATGTAGGATAAGGTCTTAGTGATAATTATGAGCTCGTATTATTTTTCTGAGAAGTGAGAAGAGATGTCTTTGTGTGAGTACAGATATTAATGAGCATCTCCCACATTGGGAAAATCCCAGTTCTTCTTGTCTTGTTAGATGAAGACGGCCATTGTTTAGTGAAATTATGATATGAGGTCTTCAGCCCTGAAATTCATTGGCCTCCATTTCTGAACTGTGTAGAGGCGTTGAGTATCTGTTAACTTTTGCTGTTTTACAAAAGCCCTCAACTTACTCTTTTACTTCCTTCTATCTTTGTAAAGAAATAGGTAATTCTTTCAGTTCAGTACTCATTCTAGCTCCTTTCTCTAATTACATAATTGTATGCATATGTGATTGCTGTAATTCTTATATGATGTGGCAATTGCTATGGGAACTATTTATACAAGAAATAAAATCATCTATGCAAGTAATTGAAGCAGAAATGAAAGCTTTCTCAGGCTGCATTAGCTGAAGTATCCTTCTTTTAGGTAATTATTTTCCCCCACTACATTTACTGTGTGTATTTTCAGTATTAACTGTTACAACATTACTTTCTAGTAGAATCCATGCTTGTTTACAAGAAATAACTTCCAGTCAAATTTTGCACGCTGAGCAATACAGGAGAGTTATGCTGTCACGTGTTATGATTTAGCAAGAAAAAAAATGAAATGTAGTTGCCAATATTTGAATAACAGTTCAAGGAACACATTTTCAAGCAAAGGCAAGATTCTGTTGGCCATTGGCTATGCCACATTTAATATATAATGACAAACTTAATTTATACAATATGGGTCTACTGTTCACTGTCACTATATGCATAAATGACCAACTACGTACATTTGTGTGCACAGTTACCCACAGTTTTGCTTGTGAAATTACACGTCTAACTTTAGAAGGCTGGTTCCAGAATTTGGTGCAAGTTTTCAGGCTGTATAATGCCCATTTGCACAATTGTTTTAATCCCCTGTGTCCAACAGATGCTAGTTTTCTTCCTTCTTGTTTTGGTGAAAGATTTAATGAACTACTGTTCACTTCTGAGGTTTTGCAGAGCTGATGAGAGGCTTGTTCTTTCACCCTGTCACTTTATAGACTGACCTCCCCACTATCTGCAAAATACATCTTGCTCCTCTTGGTTTTTCCCTATTGAGGTCTTGTATTCCAGAATCCATTTCTATCTTTGACCTCTCCAACTTTCTCTTTTTCCTTTGGGCTTCTTTGATCTCTCTTGCTCTCTGGCATTC